ATGTAGAGAAACTGGAACTTCATACTCTGCTGGTGGACTTGTAAAATGGTTCAGCCACTTTGGAAAACAGTCTGGCAGTTCCTCCAAAAGTTAAACCTAGACTTACCCTATGACCCAGCAACTATACTCCTAGGTATTTCCCAAGAGAAAAGAAAACACATGTCCACATAAAAACGTGTACATGATTGCTCATATCACCATCATTTATAATAGCTTCCAAGTGGAAACTAATGTCTATCAACTGATGAACTGATAAATAAAATGTGGTATAATCCATACAATGGAATAGTGTTTTGCAATAAAAAGGAATCCAGTACCGATAGATGCTACAACAAGAATGAACCTTGAAAACATTATGCTAAGTAAAAAGATCAGATATAAGAGGCCCCATATTGTATGATTCCATTTAAATGAAATGTCCGGAATAGGCAAATCCACAAGACACAGGAAGTAGATTAGTGGTTGCCAGGGGCTGGGGAACGGGAGGATCGAGAGAGGCCGGCTAAGGGATTTCTTTTTTAGGGTGATGAAAATGTTCTACACTTGGGACTTCCCTGGTGGTCCAGTGCTTAAGACTCAATGCTTTTACTGCAGAGGGCATGGGTTCAATCCCTGGTCAGGGAACTAAAGATCCCGCATGCCACGTGATGTGGTTAAAAAAAAAAAAAGTTCTAAACTTGTTTGTGGTGATGGTTGCACAACTCTGCGAATATACTAATTATTTGTGCTGTGAGTGAAGAAATGTGCTTCACCCTCCATCACTGCAGGCTTGTTACCCTGGAGGCAGCCTCTGGGGGTCATCTTCCCCAGAAAGCCCTTCCAAAGTGGGAGATCTTGCCCCACGTTTTGAACCCTCAACTGTCTGAACTGTGACTGAACCCAATTCACAAGGGCCAGGTCAGGGCTGGGGCCAGCAGGTGGGACATAACAGCCTCGGTTGCTCAAGCATCTGCAAAGAGGGCTGGGAACCCATTAAGTGTAAATGAGCCCCACGTGAGCAATGATCCAACCTGTCATTCAGCTCAGCTTTCCTGAGCTCTAACCCATGAGGATGCAGGACATTACACTTCTGTGCTCCATCTGATAATGATCTTAGGCTCCCTGTTCCTGGACCATGTTACAGGTACGGAGCTTCTGAAGAACTATGGCCTAACAGGATGCCCCTTCCCCCCCCACCAAATTTGCTTTGAACATCCAGACTGATGTCGGCACACACACACAGCAAGAAGGTATGAAACGATTTACTAGTCACACAATGTGACTTTCTTTAGGGAGCATGCAGGCTTCCCAAGCTGGTTCGAAAGTGGCTTGAAAGAGAGCAAGGACCGGCTTGGGGTTAGTATAGTGGTTAATGGGTGGGGCCAGGGTGAGGGTTCCTGCCTTTGGTTTGAACTTCCCACTGGCACCAAAAGAGGGCACAGCCAGGCTTTCCAATCTGCTTCCCCAGATGTGGGACACGGGAAAAGGGAGGGGTGAGGCTCAATGCTTTCAGCAAACATTGAAAAAAACGGAGTTGGGAATTCCCTGGCAGTCCAGTGGTTAGGACTTGGTGTTTTCACTGCCTGTGGTCCCAGGTTCGGTCCCTGGTCGGGGAGCTAAGATCCCGCAAGCTGCGTGGTGTGGGAAAAAAAAAAAAAAAAGAAGAAAGTAAAACGGGACCTCCCTGGCGGTCCAGTGGTTAAGACTTTGTCTTCCAATGCACGGAGTGAGGGTTTGATCCCTGGTCGGGGAGCTAAGATCCCACGTGCCTTGTGGCCAACAACCCAAAACATAAAACAGAAGCAATATTGTAACAAATCCAATAAAGACTTAAAAAAAATGGTCCACATCAAAAAGAATCTTAAAAAGAAAAAGTAAAAAAAAAATAATGGAGTCACTCTTTATTACATGAGGACTTTTTTTGTTGTCTAATAGCATTTCGTTGCTTGGCTTTGAAAATTATGTGTAGGCCTACCTATCTGCTGGTGAAACAAATCCCAACAAGATAGAAAAAAGTTGTTCCCTTTGTACCATAAGCTGCATAAAAGCAGATCTCCACTGAGTCAGAAAACTTCCGTGCTTGATAAATTTCAGCTGTTACAGAGGGACAGAAAGACCTGATAAACTCACCAGGAAAACACGGCGTCACAAGGCTTGGGCCATTCCATTCCTGAGAGATCATTTACACCCGTTACGACAAGGAGTGAGAGCCAAAAAGTGACACATGCTTCAGTTGTGTATTACTCATAAAACAATAATAACGATAAATTTCTTATTACAAAACATTTACTAATTACCTTCCTTAGAAAGTTAGCTTAGAAACTGAACTGGTTCAACACCATTTAATTCAGCCAATGAGTCCCTAAACCAAGAATGAAAGATCAGTGAACAGCCCTGGACGAATCTCTACTCTTCTCTGAGCCTCACTTTCGCCCGTGGACTCAAGAAGGATATTGGATAGGAGGATTCTCAGGACAGTCAGCGAGTTCCGCCTACTCCAGCTTCATTGGCTCAATTCCACCTGAGGTCCCGCCTCTTTTCCAGGGTCGCCCTCCCGTCCACGCCCATTCCAGCCAATTCCCGCTCTAGTCCTGCTCATAACCCCGCCTCATAACCCCGCCCCTACAACCGCCTCGCCTCAAAGCCCGCCCCCCTTCCAGCCTCAGGCTCCTTGACGGCATGCTCCAGCCTCGCCCAGCTTCTCATTCTCCTCTGTCCTCTAGATCAGCGGTCCCTAACCTTTTTGGCACCAGGGACCGGTTTCGTGGAAGACAAGTTTTCTACTGACCTGTGGCGGGCGGTGGGGTATGGTTCAGGCGGTAATGAGAGCAGTGGGGAGCCCCAGATGAAGCTTTGCTCGCTCGCTGTTCACCTCCTGTTGTGCCGCCCGGTTCCTAACAGGCCATGGACTGGTGGGTACACCGGCCAGAGGGTTGGGAACCCCTGCTCTAGATGGCCTAAGACTCCGAGACCGCTCCGAGCCTCTCTTCTGGCCAAAGACGGGGAGGACACAATGAGTGTCATGGACACTCGTATCCTGAAGTACCTGGCAATTTGGTCTTGGACTGAGAGTGGGTCCCCCACAGACAGTCCCCACGAAGGCGGTGCCGCGGAGTGCGCAGCGCCTGTGCCGTGAATGCCTCAGCGCCTGCGCAGGTTCCCTAACTACATTTCCCAGGTCCTCGCGGGATTCCGGCTCCTCAGGGCGACGGTTCTCTGAGGGCAAAGGCGGAGGAAACCCTGGAGTTCCGGGGCGGCCTCCGCTTTGGGTACAGCGGTGTCAAAGTCTTCTTCTATCTTCCGTAGGCGGAGTGGTGAAGGAGAAGGTGGTTACACAGTTCGTTTCCTCTCGACCAATCACAGGCTGCGTTCTGAAAGCTAACCACCGCGCGTCCGTTGTCAGGGCAACCGTCAATTCCGGAAGCCTGTCTTCATGACAACTGTCTAAGCACTGACGCTAGGCGAGGGGCCCTCTTTATTTATTTTATAAAATAAATAAATTTATTTATTTTTGGTTACATTGGGTCTTCGTTGCTGCGCAGGCTTTCTCTAGTTGCGGCGAGTGGAGGCTACTCTTCCTTGCCGTGCGCGGGCTTCTCATTGCGGTGGCTTCTCTTGTTGCAGAGCTTGGGCTCTAGGCGCGTGGGCTGCAGTAGTTGTGGCACGCGGGCTCAGTAGTTGTGGCTCGCGGGCTCTAGAGCGCAGGCTCAGTAGTTGTTGCGCACGGGCTCCGCGGCATGTGTGATCTTCCCAGACCAGGGCTCGAACCCATGTTCCCTGCATTGGCAGGCGGATTCTTCACCACTGCACCACCAAGGAAGTCCCAAGGGGTCTTCTTTAAAGGCGTTTCTATGTAGTAGGGATGCTCAACAAAACAGCGTGCTTTGCTCATAAAAGTTAATGAAAAATGTGTTACAGCACAAAGAAGGGAGAAAAACTGGGTAGGGCGGGACTGAAAGGGTTGATGTGAGGAAGGTTTCTCAGGGGAGGGGTCTTGAATAAGGCTTTGAGGGATGTGTAGGAGAGCGCCAGGAAGAGAAAAAGGAAAAATGCTATCTTTATTTATATATCTGGCCAAAATTTAAAGCTGTATGATATACTTACCTTGAGGGAGTGGGGAAACTAACATTCTCTTACCGTGCAAGTGGGGATGGGAATGGCTCAGGCTTGAAATAAATCAATCAGTCAGTGACTATTTTCTGAGAACCTACCACGTTCCAGGCAGTGCTCTAGGCGCTGGAGATATAGTGGTGACAGACACAAAGGACCTGCCTTCAGGGAGTCAGAGCAGGCAGTAAATAGGGGACCTATAATAGGAAATTACGGTAAGTACTATGAAGTAAACAGGGAAGTGGCTGAGATAGGAATGAAAAGGTGATCAGGCAATATAATTATTTGAGAAGATAATTGTGAAATAAAACCATATAAATCTCAAGTAAATTGTAGGGAAATATTAATGTATAGCAGGTGGAGCTTGCCTTACCTGTAGATTTCTTCTTCCTAGTGTTTGTGAGGTTGAGTTGGGGTTTTCTCTTACTTGCCACTGAAGGCATCCTGAAGTACTAGGATAAACAAGATGAATGCCTTGTTTTGGTCCTTTTGGCTACTTGAGCTAGTAAACTGTCTTTCTTGTTTGAACTCTTTTAAGTTTTCTGTTATTTGAAACCTAAAACATCTTTTGTAATATAGCTTATTATTCTCATTTAAAATATGAAGAAACTGGATCAGACAGCAAGGCAATGGCAAAGGCAAGATTCAAAATTAGGTTCTCTTAGACTAATAATTCAATTATTCTACGTCAGTATGTTAGTACAGGAGGGGTGAATCTTCGAGAAGGGAGTGGACCAAGTGTGCTGAGAAATTTACATATATGGTGGAATATATTAGGATGGGTGATTTAAAGATGCTACACTGCTGGCTTTGAGGATGAAGGGGCCACAAGCCAAGGAATGCAGGTGGCCTCTAGGAACTGAAATTTTATACCATAAGCCATAAAAATGCAGAAGGAATAAACATTTACTTGTTAAAAAATCGTAACAGTACTAGAATAAAATATAGAACTTTCTTCATAATCCTGGGGGGGCGGTGAGGCAGGTTTTTCTTAGTGTGAAGCTGGTCCAAGAACTATAAAAGAAAATACAGATAGAGTTGAATACCTAAAAAGTTTAAAATTCTGTATAGCAAAATACACCATAAACAAAACTGGAAGAGAAATAATAAACTGGCAGAAAATATTAGTAATGTATATACCAAAGAGTTAGTATATGTAATACATAGACTTGCTCCTATAAAACAATACAAAAAGGCAGCCCAATTAAAAATGGGCAAAATATACAAATAAGCAATTTGAAGAAGGCAAAACATCAATAAAGGCATAAGAAGATCATTAATCTCCCTACCAATAGGACATTTTTACTTACTAGATGAGAAACGTTAAAAATAATAAAAGACTAATACCGAGTATTTGTGAAGGAAGTGGAGGAAAGAAATAGGCACTCATGTACACTTTCAGGAGTTTTGTAAATTGGGTCATCCTTTTTTGGAGGATTATTTAGCAATAACTATCAAAATTTTAAACATGGACATTCTATGATCCCACAAGCTTACTTCTAGGAATTCATCTTATGGAGATAATTTGCACAAGTGTCAAATAATATATGTCCAATGATGGAAAAGAAAATAAAACAACCCAAATGCTCATTAATAGAATTTGGTTAAATAAATTCAAGAAACTCTAGCATGAACTATTATGCAGCTGTTAAAAGTGGCAAATGATGATACACATATATATACATATATACATGTGTATATATTTTTGTACTATATATATTTTTTGGATTGATTGTCATGGGAAAATATTAATATTATATCAAGTGAAAAAAGTCACTTAAAATCACGTCTGTGATTATGCCATATAAATAATATTTTATGTACATATATATTTCATACCAACAGAAAGGGAGAAACAACGGAAAACAGTCTAGAATCTTTGGAATGAAGATTTATAGAGAGCCACAGTGTTCTTCATTTTTGTGTTGTTTGAATTATTCACAATAAACGAGTATTTCATCAACCATGAAGGAAGTCACAGAAGAAATACCTGAGCAAAGACTTTTAAACATGGTAACTACCAGTGATGATGTTGGTGAGATGCAGTCCCATCCACTGCCAATCAGATGCAGAAATTTCAGGAAGCCATTAACTATGTGCACGGGGTCATTAAAATGTTCTCTCTTTGACACCACAGACTCCCTGCCAGAATTCTACTTGGGAGCTGGTAGGGTGCTCAGCCTAAGACTTCAGTAGAAGGGATGTTTATAAAAGTCAAAAACTGGAAGCAACCAAATTATCCAACAGGGGACTGGCTACTACTAAACACAAAATATGCAAAGCCCCCAAACATCAGGTTGTTAAAGATTATTTAATGACGTGGGTATTTAATGATATCGGTAAATCATATTTAATGATAGGGGCCTGTGATATAAAGTTAAGTAAACACAGAAGTATGCTAAACTGTATATTAACTATGTCCCAGATTTATTAAAGCGTTATAATACTGTGATTAAGTTTTAAAAATAGCAGAAGTATACCAAAATGTTAACAGTTATCTCTGGGTAGCACTGGCCTTTGCGTAAAATCTTCCGGATTTCTTGGATCTTGTAAATTTTTTATAAAAAGCATGTATTGGTTTTTATAATAAGATAATAAACATTATTTTAAGAAGGAAATGTTATATGTGAAATGTGTTCAATCCCAATAGAAGTTCAGTGCATAGCTCCTGGAGCTTGACTGCTTGAACTTGAGTTCAGGCTCCATGACCTCATAGCTGTGGGGCTTTGTCTACATCATCAGCATGCCTCGGTGTCCTCATCTGTGAAATGGGATAATACAGCCCTGAACATATGTGGTTGTTTGAAGAATGAAAGGAGTTCACACGTACCAAGGACTTAGCACAAAATTGGCACACGGTAAGTTACTGAAATCACTAGCCATTTTATATGTTTGACATGGGAAAACATTATATGATTGATGTTCAGTGTTGGTTATAATGTAACAGAACTGTAGTCCTCACTTCCTAGCTTGCTCCAGGTAGATTAGGTCCAGCCCCTTTAGAAAGCAATTTAACAATATGTTCCAGGAACCAAGAAAATGGTTAGAGTCTTGATTCTGTTATTCCCATCCTGGGAATTTGACTTAGAGAAATAATCCCCCCAAAAGGAGAGAGGAAGTTAGCATGGAAATGCTCATTATTACATGATTCATAATTGGGAAAATTGGTGAATAACCTGTGTCAATCTGGGGCTTAGAGCAAAGTCTAAATGGGGGCATGGATTTATAGATTATTCTATGCCCACCAATGAAACATCATTAGCCCTAATAATGATGAGGATGGAGTTTACGTGGTGACAAAGGACAATGTCATGGTATAATGAGGGCAAAACAGAGAAGCCAAAATTGTTTCTGATTACAATTAAATAAAGTAACACTTATTTTAAAATGATACTCAGAAGGAAAGATGAAAAAAAATCAAAACAACCTGACTTCTGAGGATGGCCAAGTTGTAGGTGAGTATATAGCTTTTTGTTTTATGATCCAAAAATTTCAACATTAAGAAATATGGATATGGAATACAGAGTGAAATGAAACCAGAAAGACATACACCCAAAAATGACTAGTGGGTCTCTCTGGCCTGTGGGATTATGGGGAATTGGTATTTTAGTTCATACTTCTCTACACTTTTCAAATTATCCTTTAAAATAAGCTTATCTTATTCTACTTTAAAATTTTTCCTGTTATAAAAGTGTATGTATTATTTTTATAATAGAAAATACTATGTTTCAAAAATTTGAGAGAAGGGCTTCCCTGGTGGCGCAGTGGTTGAGAGTCCGCCTGCCAATGCAGGGGACACGGGTTTGTGCCCCGATCCAGGAGGATCCCACATGCCGCGGAGCGGCTGGGCCCGTGAGCCATGGCCGCTGAGCCTGCGCGTCCGGAACCTGTGCTCCGCAACGGGAGAGGCCACAACAGTGAGAGGCCCGCGTACCGCAAAAAAAAAAAAAATATATGAGAGAATAAAAACCTCCTTTTGAGCATGACTAAAATTAGAAAATGATGTCTAACAGGGCAATTACTTTGTAAAGCACAATTCCTGGAAGTGGAAAAGACAGAAACAATAGGACATAAGAAATGGCTGGAAATATGTGAAACATATTCCATGTTTAAGCCAACTGCAGATTTTTCAGTGAAATTTGTAGCTTAAAGTTTTAAAGGAAACTAAAATCGCCTGGCATTTATCTTTAGTTACATATATTTGTGACTTTTACTCTAACAGATGAATCTTTCCAGCTGTGTTTGTTTTTTCTTGAATTTCCAGGCTCCAATTTAACACATGATGAATAAATTTTAAAAGCTCAGAGAGACCTTATTAAAGATCCCAGATGAAGTTGCATCCTATGTAGACCACCCCATACCTACCACCATCCAGGGACGTTGTAGGGTTCAGAAATGGGGGGGAAGCTTAGATTTTAGGGGGGAGCCCTTTAAATGATCAGAAGCTGTCTCTGCTGGTGATAAACAGTGCCATCCTCCTTCTAGGAGGCAAAAAAGGAACCAACTCTCTCAATATATAGTGTTATGGCTCCTCTCTGGGAAGAAGCTTCTACTGCTGATGAAGGCTGAACGGAACCCAGCAGAAGAATCACCAGTTTGTTTCATTCTCAGGCTCTCTAGTCAGCATGAGTTCTCTGATGATCACTAAGCTGCATGTTCCAAGCAAAGACTTTCTCAAAATTACCGCAGACGTAGCCATCATGCACAGTGTGAAGTCTCTGATGTTCGGCCAGGTGTGAACCCCAGCTGAAATCCTCTCCGCGTTCTTTACATGCATAGCGCTTGCCACCCATATGAACTTTCTGGTGTTGAATGAGGTGTGAAATCTGGGCATAGGTTTTCCCACAGTTCTTACATTTGTAGGGCCTCTCCCCGGTATGAATCCTCTGATGCTGAATGAGGTGGATACTTTGATTGAAGGCTTTCCCGCATTCCTTACAGGTGTAGGGTTTCTCGCCGGTGTGAATCCTCTGATGTTGAGTTAGGGATGAGTTGTGACTGAATGTTTTCCCACACTCCTTACACTTATAGGGTTTCTCGCCCGTGTGGATCTTCTGATGCTCGATGAGATGGGCGCTCCGGCTGAAGGCTTTCCCACACTCACTGCACTCATAAGGTTTCTCTCCGGTGTGAGTCCTCTGGTGTTGGATGAGGTGGGAAATCTGGGTGTAGGCTCTCCCGCAAATTGTACACTCATAGGGCTTCTCCCCGGTGTGAATTCTCTGGTGGCGCATAAGTGAGGAGTTCTGGCTGAAGGTTTTCCCGCATTCGTTACACTTGTAGGGTTTCTCACCAGTGTGGATCGTCTGGTGTTGAGTAAAGGAGGAGGTGTGACTGAAAGCCTTTCCACACTCTTTACATATATAGGGTTTCTCCCCCACGTGAATGCTCTGGTGCCTCATGAGGTGGGAGATCTGCGTGTAAGCCTTCCCACACTCATGACACTCATAGGGCTTCTCACCAGTATGAATTCTCTGATGCTGAGTCAGGGATGAACTGTGGCTGAAGGCTTTGCCACACTCGGGGCACTCGTAAGGCTTCTCTCCAGTGTGGACTCGCTGGTGCTGGGTCAGTGACGAGCTGTGGCTGAAGGTTTTCCCACACTCGTTACACTTGTAGGGTTTCTCACCAGTGTGGATTGTCTGGTGCTGAGTCAGGGAGGAGGTGTGACAGAAAGCCTTGCCACACTCACTGCATTTGTAGGGCTTCTCCCCTGTGTGTATTTTCTGGTGGCGGGTGAGGTGGGACACCTGGGAGTAGAACTTCCCACACTGGTTGCATTTATAGGGTTTCTCCCCAGTATGGCATCGCTGGTGTTTGATGAGGGAGGAGCTCTGGGTGAAGGCTTTCCCACATTCCTTGCATTTGTAGGGTTTCTCTCCAGTGTGGATCCTCTGATGCTCAGTGAGCGATGAGCTCTGGGTAAAGGTCTTGCCGCATTCGTTGCAGGCGTAGGGCTTCTCTCCTGTGTGGATGATGTGGTGCTGGATGAAATATGAGCTGTTGCTGAATGCTTTCCCGCACTCGTTACACTTGTAGGGCTTCTCTCCAGTGTGAATTCTCTGGTGTAGGACATAATCCGAATGGTAGATGAAGGCTTTCCCACATTCCGTGCAGTTAAATGGTTTCCTTTGGTGTTTCAGGCTCTTTCTTGACCTGGTCCACTTCTGAGGATCCTCTCCCCCAGGCACTCTTTGCTTCCCAACGAAAGCTGAGGTCTGCCTGAAGTGTCTCAACTCGCCATGGGTGTTTTCCTCGGGAGTAGTAAACAACCATCTCAAACGCCTCTCCTGCTTTCCCTGGTCTTCCAGTTGACGGCCGCATGTCCAGGAGTCCCCCAACTTGGTGTCTCCAAGCACTGCCCTTAAAATGCCCTCTATCTTTCCCATTGGGGAAGCCACGTCTTTGGAAATACTCTTTTTTGGAAGTGCCTCCTGAGTAGTTTCAGAGTTTGTCTCCAAGTCTGAAAGAAATGGAAAATATGAACTTCATCTGTCCCAGGACAAAAGAAGCTGGTTATTTAGATCTGGCATTGTAATTTTTTTTTTTTTTTTTTTTTTTGGCTGTGCGGCTTGTGGGATCTTAGTTCCCCAACCAGGGATGGAACCTGTGTCCCCTGCAGTGGAAGTGCAGGGTCCTAACCACTGGACCGCCAGGGAATTCCCTGACATTGTAATCTTAAAAAGAAAGATTTCAAAGTTTATATTGCTAGTTCTAAAGGCATGAGGTAGACAGATTCATGTTGTGACACGGAAGAATGGTCTCAGTATATTCTAAACATGCAAAAAAATGAGTTGCAAAGCAGTTTATATGCACAGTGGTTTCTTAGCCATATGTGTAATACATTTTCACAAATCGATAAGAAAAAGAGAAACAATCTAATCAAATAGTGAAGCAGGAATGTGAATAGACATTTTGCAGAAGAAAAACAAGTGGCTGATAAATATGTGAAAAAGATGCTCAACGTAAGTAACAGTCTAAAAAGTCAAATTTCTCAGATGCCATTTGACACTTTTTACATTGGAAAATATTAAAAATATCCAATGTTGGCAAACGAGCATGGTAGAAGCATTCTCACACTATGTTGGTGGACACGTGCAGGGAAAGAGTTAACACAGAAGGTCCACTTTACTCAGTTTTTATCTCTGTAACCATGGCAATGACCCTTAGCTAAGCTCTGAGAATTGAATTCCTGGTATTTTACATAATTACTGGTTGATGATCTTTTTCTGTGTGCTCAAGACGCTGGGTCAAAATGTACTAGGCTGTCAGCATTGTTTACTGTATAATTTGCTGGGATTTAAAAAAGAAAATCAATATTTTCTTGGCCACGTGGCATGTGCGATTTTAGCTCCCGGAGCAGGGATTGAACGCACGCCCCTTGCATTGGAGGCGCGGAGTCTTAACCAGTGGACTGCCCGAGAAGTCCCAGCATTGTTTCCTGTAAATGGAAGATTCATGATGCCCGTCTGGTGCCTGATTTGGGGTCTTCACCACGGCTGGTCATGTAGCAGGTATGTGCTAATGATATCAAGCATCTTCTCATATGCTTACTGATCATTTGTGTGTCTTTGAAGAAACGGCTACTGAGATCTTTGGCCCATTTTTAACTGGATTATTTGTCCTTTTATTGTTGAGTTGTAAGAAGGATCAGTCCCTTATCAGACATATAATTTACAAAATTTTTCTTGCTTTCTGTGGGTTGCCTTTTCATTTTCTTTATAGTGTCTTTTGAAGCACAAAAATTTTAAATTTTGATGATGTCCAATTTATTTTTTCTTTTCTTGCTTGTTCCTTTGATGTCATATCTAAGGAACCATTGCCTAATCCAATGACAACAGGATTATTTTCAAAATCCCGCAGAGCATTTAGTTGCTATGTCTCTGTTTGGGGTGATCCCACAACCATCCACTAATTTGGTGATTTTTCTGGAAGGATTTACATGACTCAACAACAAGTTGTATGCACAGCTAAAATTTCTTACAGCAAAGTATGTAACAAATACGTGTGTAGGTGAAGGCTAGAGAGATGATGTGAGGGCTTCCATGTCAGCCTCTCTCTGCAAGGGTCACTTGGATGTGCTTTTCTCTACTGATGTGAACTTCGGAGACACATGGTAGAGGTCTTCACCCAGGGAAATCCACTTGAGTCTTAGAGCCTAGAGTTCTCTAATTCAGTCCCCAAAAGAAATTCAGTGAAGCGGGTACTATCAGTGTCCCCAGTCAATGTCCCCACTTGACAGATAAGCACCAAGAGCTTAAGTCACTTACCCACAGTCACACGGCCTGACAGTGGCAGAGCTGGGATTTGAACTCAGAGAGTCTGGCTCCAGAGCCCACACTCTTAACTGCCACATGAACAAGTGCAGTAATAGCAGCTCAAGCAAGGAGCTGTGAAAGCACCGAGAAGGGGCAGGTCACTCAGCCTGGAAGTCAGGGAAGGCCTCCTGGAAGAGGTGACCTGTAGCCTTGAGGATCGTGAAGGTGTCTGCCACGCAGACAAAGCAGGGAAGGGTGTTCCAGGCAGAGGGAACAGCATGTGCACAAGCCCAAAGGTGGGAACACACATTCAAGTTCAGGGAGGAACAGGCACTTCAGGGAGTGAGGTCAGGGCGTGAGGTACCAACACCGGTGGATGGTGATGAGAGATGAGGCCAGAGACAGAGTAGGCTGAATCACACAGGGCCTTGAGTGCCAGGTGTGCGGCTAGGACTTTGTCTCAGGGGCACTGGGGAGACACATGAGGGCTATGAGCAGGGGAGGGACGGGATCTGGGGCTGTGTGTGAGATGAACCAGAAGACTGGAGGCTGGGAGGCCAGGGAGGAGGCTGGGGTGAGGGTCCAGGTGAGGGTCGTTGAGGGCTGAGCCAGGGCTGTTGGCGGGGGGTGGGGTGGGGAATGGGGAAAGGGAGTGGGCAGGAGGGACAAGACTGGGGCCTGATGGGCTATGGTGGGTGAGGGGGTAGGAAGGGGTAAGTACTGGCCCCACAACAGGATGGACAAGTGATGGAAAAAAGGATGCTTCAATTCCCTCCTCTGATGAGGTCACGGGCCAGTAGGGGCAGAAATCTGGCCTCTTCCTGTCCCCCAACATGTCAGGCCAGATCCCACTTCTGGGTCTCTTACACAAGTGATTTCCAATAAATAATCATAACGATAACCAGTGTAGCCTCTTCTTTCTTTTTGGCCACGTTGCATGGCTTGTGGGATCTTAGTTACCCGACCAGGGATTGAACCTGGGCCCACAGCAGTGAAAGCCCAGAGTCTGCCATGGAACTCCCCATCGTAGCCTATTCTGAGCAGGGGGTTCTGGGTGCCCTCTGTATGTATTAACTCACTTATTCTTCCCAACCCTAGGTGCTATTATTGACCCCATTTTGCAGATGAGGAAATTGAGGCACAGAGGAGCTAAATGACTTGCCTGAAGGTCACACAGCCAGGAAGCGGTGGAGCTGGGATTTGAACCCAGCACCCACAGTGATAGCCTGTATGGTACACTCCCTCACTCTCAAACGACCATCACTGATCATGACAGATGGAGGGTAGGAAGACAGCTCGCATCTGCTGGACATCCTCACCCACCTGAACAGGTAACTCGCCAGGCTTCTCTCCTCTCCATCCTGGGCTCTTCCCCTCGCTCCAGACGGCAGATCACATCGGGTTTGGACCCAGGAAGCCCTGCCCCTGAAAAAAATGTGAGACTTGGCCATGGGTGCCGCAGTCACAGGGAGGCCTCAGGGCTGGGCCCCAAGCCCTGGGTCTGCAGGGGAGATGCATACATTGGACACCTAATGATTAGAAGATCTGCAAGACTCGTTTATTGAGTGCCTACTACATTCCAGAGAGAACCTGAGCCCTGACATCACTGTTTAAGGCTCCAGCTCTGTGTTAAAGTTGAGTGAAAAATACACATAGCATTTCAAGGACTTGATATGGAGAAAAAAGGAAACAATGTCACTAATAATTCATAGATTGATTATGATGTCAACATGTGCCTAAATGATCATATTTTGGCTAGGCTGCGTGCAACAAAACAGATTACTAAAATTCATCTCATCTGTTTCTTTTGACTTTTTCAGGCCTGCTGTCTTTGAGATCACTAATTCCTCTCTTCCTGCAGTGGGGGAATATTACGCCCCCAGGAACCTCAGCATGTGGCCTGATTTGGAAAGAGGGGCTTTGCAGATGTAAATGGTTAAGATGGGGTCCTACTGGATTCGGGTAGGCCCTAAATCCAATGACTGGTGTCCTTATAAGAAGAGGAGAGACACACAGACACATTTGGAGGGCAAAAGGCCAGGTGAAGATGGAAGCAAAGATTGTGGTGATGCAGGTACAGGGCAAAGAATGCCAAGAATGCCACGAGTCTTCAGGCGCTGGAGAAATCCAGGAAGGACTCTCCTCAGGAGTCTTCAGAAGGAGCCCGGCCCTGCCTGCACCTTGGTTTTGTGCTCCTGGCCTCCTGAACTGTGAGAGAATACATTTCTGCTGTTGTGAGTCCCCAGGTTCGTGACAATTTGGTACAGCCGCCCTAGGAAACAAACATACTCCCTAATGATCATTCCTGTGAGCAAACATGCTGAAAAATCACTCCCACCTTAAATGGAGAAGCGGGAGGAGGAAGAGAATGGAAGGGGGTAACACTGAGGAGGTAGGCAGGGGCCAGGTCACATAAGGGTATGAAGGAGTGGGTACAGGCCATGCCCAGGACTGGCCTGGTGACTGGATGGGCGGAAACTGTCCCTGAGATGGGGGAACCGGAGAAGGAGTGGGTCCAGGGGGATATGGGGAGCTCAGTGGGGACAGGGAGCATGGGATCTCCCCAGGGAGGTATTCTGCAGGCCACCAGCAGCACAGATTGAAGCTCGGGGGGCAGACTGAGGGGACCTCATCTGTATGCACAGATTGTGCAGAAAGGGGTTTAACACAGCAGGCTGACTGCTCTCCTTGGCAAGGTCTGCTTGCAAGGTTGCCCTTGCTGGCATCTGGGAACCTGGGTTTCAGGAGGGTTCCAGAACTCTCTAACTGATAAGAGGGGCTCCCTGTGCCCGAACTGTTTGTTCAAAACAATGTGGTTTCTCTCCTGGGCATATATCCAGAGAACACTCTAATTCAAAAAGATACACGCATACCCTACTATGTATAAAATAGATAACTAATGAGAACCTATTGTTTAGCACAGGGAACTCTACCCAGTGCTCTGTGGTCACCTAAATGGGAAGGAAATCTAAAAAAGAGTAGATGTATGTATACGTATAACTGATTCACTTTGCTGTACAGCAGAAACGAACACAACATTGTAAAGCAATTATACTCCAATAAAAATAAATTTAAAAAAGGGCTTCCCTGGTGGCACAGTGGTTGAGAGTCCGCCTGCCGATGCAGGGGACACAGGTTCGTGCCCCGGTCCGGGAAGATCCCACATGCTGCTGAGCGGCTAGGCCCGTGAGCCATGGCCGCTGAGCCTGCGCGTCCGGAGCCTGTGCTCCGCAACGGGAGAGGCCACAGCAGTGAGAGGCCCGCGTACCGCAAAAAAAAAAAAAAAAAAAAAAAAAAAAAAAGATGCACCCATATGTGCATAGAAGCACTATTCACAATAGCCAAGACATGGAAGCAACCTAAGTGTCCATCAATAGATGAATGGATAAAGAAGATGTGGTACATATATACAATGGAATACTACTCGGCCATAAAAAAAGAATGAAATAATGCCGTCTGCAGCAACATGGATGGACCTAGAGTTTTTCATACTAAGCGAAGTAAGCCAGAAAGAGAAAGACAAATACCATATGATACTTATATGTGGAATCTAAAATATGACACAAATCAACGTATCTACGAAACAGAAACAGACTCACAGACATTGGGAACAGACTTGTGGTTGCCAAGGGGGAGGGGTGGGGGAGGGATGGATTGGGAGCTTGGGATTAGCAGAGGCGGACTATTATACATAGGATGGTTAAACAAGGTCCTACTGTATAGCACAGGGAAATATATTCAATAATATATTTATATCCTGAGATAAATCATAATGGAAAAGAACATGAAAAAGAATACATATGTATGTATACCTGAGTTACTTTGCTGTACAGAAGAAATTAACACCACATTGTAAATCAACTATACTTCAATAAAATTTAAAAAAAAAAGAAGAGGGCAGGGGCACAGGCTGAAGATTTTGTGGGACAGGCAGAGGACTTGGGGCCCTCGGGGATGCTGGGACTCTGGGAGAAGCCAGCAGAGAGACAGAGAGATGGACAGGGGCCGCCCAGGAGGGTCCGGTGAGAGGTGCAGAGAGGACCCCCGTGAATGCCCACAGTTAAGCAGCGGGTGGGCATGGAGGAGATGAGGGCTGAAGGGGGCATCCTGCCTCTTCCTGGGAGGGCAGGGGGCAGGGCCTCACCCAGCGATAGAAGGTTCTGGTAGTTCTCCAGCATCACATCCCGATACAGCTCCCTCTGGCCAGGCCCCAGCTGGCCCCACTCCTCCAGGGTGAAGTCCACAGCCACGTCTTTGAAGGTCACCGATTCCTGCAAGGGCCAATTTTATATCATGGACAGGCACGTCTTTCCAGAACTCTGGGGTGGGACAGGTCATGTGTCAAGAGCCTACCACTTGTTCCTTGCGCTGGAACGTTCTGACTTGGCAGATTTGGGACGACTGAATTAAACCGGCCCATGGGAATGTAAAATGTCTAGGTAGGGCAGCCGTTAGCCCACAGGCACCTTGGTAGAAAGTAGAACAAGGCCCCCCCGCATTCACATGACTCTTTACTGCCATCTGTTGGAAAATTGTTATAATACACCAATTATTTCTAGCATGTGACAGTTGACTGCCATCTGCGTGTAAATTGCTACAATCAATATACCGATGTAGGAGGTGGAAGATGCAAATCATGCCACTGAGATGAGGCACCCTTGTGCAGTACGTAACCTACACACCTGTACATGACAGCCCTGAGAAACACTTTTAAAAAACTACCGGACTTCCCTGGTGGTCCAGTGGTTAAGACTCCGCTTTTCCAGTGCAGGGGGGCACAGGTTCAGTCCCTAGTTGGGGAATTTCTGCATGCTGTGCGGCGCGGCCAAAATAAAAAACAAACTACCAGTCATGGTATGTCGGAGCTACTCCTAAGTCGCACTCCATCCCACACTCCAACTCTGATCCCAACCCCCATTCCTGATTCCAAGAATAAGGCTCAGGATGAAGCAAAACCATCCACTGTCCACTTTGCCTGGTAACCAAAAGGCTGCTGAGCATCAGATGACTGATTTTTAGACCGTGTCATAACGTCCCATCTCAGAGAATTCTGCCCCACACCCCGCACCTCCCAGTCCCAGAGAAACTCCCATCACTGTATCTCTCCCAGTATTGGGAGGGGCAGAAGATCTTGGCACAGGCAGAGATGTGGAAAGCCGTGGGGTCCACAAAGTCATCTCGGGGAAGAGGGAGCCCAGACTCACCTGGCCTTTGCCCGTCAGCGTCCTGATGGCCATTGCTGGGTCCCAGGCATGCACCTCCAGAAGAAAGAACCAGGCCTAAGTCTGCAAAGCTACAGGAGGAAGATGGAGCAGAGAGGGGGTCAGTTCTGGCCTAGACAGACAGACACTTTGCCAAAGATGCCTCATGACAGAGGGGCCCCTGGTCTCCTGAGAGCCAAAGCAAAGGTTCAGGGCAGGGTGCCTGAGGCCCCCATTCTTTTTTTTTATATATATAAATTTATTTTATTTTATTTATTTTTGGCTGCATTGGGTCTTTGTTGCTGTGCACGGGCTTTTCTCTAGTTGGGGCGAGCGGGGGCTACTCTTCGTTGCGGTGAGCGGGCTTCTCATTGCGGTGGCTTCTCTTGTTGTGGAGCACGGGCTCTAGGTGCGTGGGCTTCGATAGTTGAGGCACGCGGGCTCAGTAGTTGTGGCTCGCAGGCTCAGCAGTTGTGGCGTGCGGGCTTAGTTGCTCCGCGGCACGTGGGATCTTCCTGGACCAGGGCTCGAACCCATGTCCTCTGCATTGGCAGGGGGATTCTTAACCACTGCGCCAACAGGGAAGTCCCGAGGCCCCCATTCTGTAGTGATCACCACTAGTAATCAAGGGGCTCAGCTCACTGCACCCAAACAGCAGCTCTCAGAGAAGTAGCTACAGTTATCCCCAGATGAGGAAATCCAAGCACAGGAGGCCACGGCCATTGCTCAAGGTCATAGAGATGTCAAGTGTCAGAGTGAGATTCAAACCCAGAAGTCTGCCCCCAGAGCCAACCCCTCCTTTTTTTTCTTATAAATTTTATTTATTTAAAAAATTTTTAATTTTATTGGAGTAGAATTGATTTGCAATGTTGTGTCAGTTTCAGGTGTACAGCAAAGTGAATCAGTTACACATATACATATATTCATTCTTTTTTATCTTATAGGTCATTACAGAATATTGAGTAGAGTTCCCTGTACTATACAGTAGGTCCTTGTTGGTTATCTATCTTATATACAGTACTGTCTTATAATTTTTAAATTGTGGTAAAACACAGAACATATACCATTTTAACCATTTGAATATATACAATTCAGTGGCATTTAATACAGTCACAACGGTGTGCAACCATCACTGCTATCTAGTTGCAGGACATTTTCATCATCATCCTAAAAGGAAACCTTGTACTTAATCAGTTACCCCTGAATCTCCCTTCCCCCATGCCAGTCCCTCCTCATAACCACTAACCTTTCTGTCTCAATGGATTTGCCTGTTCTGGACATTTCATATCAATGGAACCATACCATATGTGACATTTTGTGTCTGGCTTCTTTCATTCAGCACAACGTGTTCAAGGATCATCCATGCTACAGCATGTAATCAGTGTCTTATTCCTTTCTACGGCTGAATAATATTCCCTGGTGTGGATGAACCACATTTTGCAGAGCTCCTTCTATCTGTCCTAAAATCCAAGCAGTATCCAAGGATCCTGGACTCCTGCTTAAGATGTCATTTAAAGAAGGATTCCAGCTGTTGAGATGAAGTTGAAGAATCCTTTACAAAGAGAAGTTGGTGCTCAGACTGTGGTCACCCCCATTCATTCGTCAAACATGCTCTGGGCCCCATGTGAGTAACAGGCTCCATTTGGGGTTCTGAGGGCAGAGAGATGAGTGAGATGTGATCCTGCCCTCGAGGGACTTCCTGCCTGTGAGGGAGACAGGCCTGGACATAGACCAGTTGGTGGGCTGAATAATGGTCCCAAAAGATATCCCTGGGATGCACTACTGGGCATATACCCTGAGAAAACCATAATTCAAAAAGAGTCATGTACCAAAATGTTCATTGCAGCTCTATTTACAATAGCCTGGAGATGGAAACAACCTAAGTGTCCAGCATCGGATGAATGGATAAAGAAGATGTGGCACATATATACAATGGAATATTACTCAGCCACAAAAAGAAACGAAATTGAGCTATTTGTAATGAGGTGGATGGACCCAGAGTCTGTCATACAGAGTGAAGTAAGTCAGAAAGAGAAAGACAAATACCGTATGCTAACACATATATATGGAATTTAAGAAAAAAAATGTCATGAAGGACCTAGGGGTAAGACAGGAATAAAGACACAGACCTGGGGCTTCCCTGGTGGCGCAGTGGTGGGAGTCCGCCTGACGATGCAGGGGACACGGGTTCATGCCCCGGTCTGGGAGGATCCCGCATGCCATGGAGCGGCTGGGCCCGTGAGCCATGGCCGCTGAGCCTGCGCGTCCGGAGCACAGGCTCCGGA